TAACCTTATACCGGTACAGTATTATTATAGCCTATTACTATTCAAATAGGGAAACTAAACAAATTTAAGTTAGAATAAAATAATATTTAAATAATAACTAATAATAATAAAATAATAAATAATCTTATTATGGTAAGATTATTGGGAAATAAAAAAACAATTTTATTTGATTCAAATGACTTTTAATGTTTTACCAATACTTAGGTATTCGGCGAGACTTATAATAACAATAATTTAAATTCAATTTTTACGAAATTGTTATGTACAATAAATAGTAATGAATAGTATGATAAATATAATGATAGATAATGAATATAATTATTTCACAAATTCAAATCATAGTCTGTTAGCCATATAAGGTTTAATATCACATTTTGTCCGTAATAATATCATATTTTAATATAAACATTATTTTTTAAGAAAATGATTAAAATATAACAAACAATAAATTAATTGAATTGAATTATAATTGAAAAAATTATAAACAACAACAGTTTAGCACGAATACGAAGAGCTTGTATGCAATTCATTCAAAAATCTTCACTTTCTCATTGAAAATACATTCATTTTCGGAGTTTTTTGCCGAAAATCATTCGTCTGAAGGCACTGCGAAAGTCGGGACTAAACGCGAGAAACAAACAGAAATTATTAGAGAAAACATCATTTTCATGACAATTACATGCGAAATACAACCTAAAGATTGTGTATAGGAATGGGTTTAACGAGGAGTTAGTCCATCCCAACCAAAGGCAGAAACTAAACAAATAGGGATTTATGAGACATTGGGGACAGAGAGGCATAATGAGGGCCATCGCGAAGAATGGGAGCCAACACACGATGAATATTCCTGTCCATCAAATGGCAAAAGAGATTCATTAGTTTTCTCATTAATTCCTTGCATTTCATTTAATATGTTAATCCCTTCCCAGATATCGGTTCACTTGTACCACAAATTCGCCATTTCCCACAATTAAACCGGACATTAGTTTTATTTTTTCTATCACTTCCCCATTAAATCAATTTTAATTAAGTTTAATGGCTATTCAATTAACATGCACAAAACGGAACTGATTTTCATTTTTACATCTCATTCCACACACTATTAGTAAGTTTAATGAAAAAATGTCTAAACTCGCATGCATCAATTGTTTTCTTAAAGCTAACATTTGTTAACACTAATTTAAGCAAACAAATACAGTATGACATTGTACAATCTTAAGTTTTGACTAAACTTCAAAATCCAAGTTCACGTGCCCTTAATCAAAGGATATTATTTGACATTTACAGCATAAACTTTAATGATAAAAGGTTACATGAAAGTGTCAATGAATATAATGCAAATGAAGTTCAATGTCGAGCTAGTAATAGGGTATCAATGAATTTGTAGATTAAATGCTAATTCACTTCATTCGCCCACATAATGACCACAACTGGGCGTTGCGATAGAAGGTCACCACAAACCAAATCATAAGACATTTCCACTCATAAACATATCAAAGCACACAATCCTTTACAGATTAACTGTATTTATGTTTATATTTACACATTATACAAAGTACAAGTATTTTACATAATCGCTAATCCCTTATAAAACTTTAAGTCAATGTCTATAGACTCTATTCATACCTGTAATTATTGCTAAAGTTTTGGCAGCTTTTCGTTCCCTCTTATTCTCGACCTCTCTTTCATTAATGCATTTTCGCCTAAACTTTAATCTCTTAAGCGGTTGTGCTCTGGATTTGGGTCCACCATTGGAGTGGCCATTAGAGTGACCATTGGATACATGGGTTGAATGATCATCAAAAGACACGTTATTAGAGTTGGAACTATTGCTGTCCCTCTGGAGCTCAATGGAGGGCACATCCAACTGCTCCAAGCAGTCGGACGTCGACGCACACGATATAAAGTCAGACACTATGGGATTGGAAGTGGAGGTGCCGTTCACACAGGGGGTGGTTGTCGACTGGTAGGGTTGCGGCGGCAGTAGGAGGTGCCGGGAGTGGGCCGACACCAGTATTTGATACGAGTTGGCGCTGCCATTGTCCGAACTGGCGTTACTGCCATTGCTGGACGATATGTTGTAGGTCATGGTTGTCATCTCTGTGCTCGAGATGTAGGTGTTGGGCACCGGTGGGCACGAGTGGGGGCGCCGGCACTTGGCTTTGACGGCGCTCGAAGACTTGCGACGAATCCGCTTCTTCGCCACCAAATAGATCCTATAATAGAGTATTAGGACGAGTGTTGAGGGCCCGTAAAAGGACACCATTGTGGCGAAGATCTGGTACGATATGTCTTGCGATACGAGACATCGTTTCTCTTCTTGTATGCGGCGATCGAAGTCCGAGTCCTTCCACCCGAGTATCGGCGCCAATGAGATGACCGCCGACACCACCCATACCACGGCTATCATACATCCGATGTGTTTGGCATTCCTCTGGTGCACGTAATCCACGTTAGTTACCGCCCAAAA